TCTAGTCACTTTTTCTGTCTCATATTCAGATCCTTGTGGTGGAATGACAACTTCCAATTTCAGTTTATCAAACTCATTTATCAACCGCACTTGAGTTGTGAGTAAGACAGCTAGTTGTCCCCACTGTCTTCCTACTAAGAGCATCTGTGACTACATTAGCCTTATCCGAATGGTAATAGATAGTGTAATCAAAATTCTTAACTAACTCTAGTCACTTTTTCTGTCTCATATTCAGATCCTTTTGAGTGAAGAAGTATTTCAAACTCTTATGATCTCTATAAATATCGCACTTTCCATCGTAAAAGTAGTGATGTCATATCTTTAGAGCGTGTACCACTGTTGCCAACTCTAGATCATGCGTAGGATAGTTTTGCTCATGTTGTTTTAATTGTCTCGAGGTAAATGCGTGCATCTTCCCCAATTTGCATCAGTACACATCCCAAACTCTGTGTAGATGCATCACTGTATATAACGAATCCATCTGAATCCTCTGGTATAGCTAAAACTGGAGCTGTAACTAGTTTCTGTTTCAGTTCTTGAAAGCTCTTGTCACATTTCTCATCCACTGAAATTTTACACCCTTTCTAGTCAATTGGGTCATTGGCCTAGCTATTTTGGAGAATCATTCGATGAATCTCCGATAATAACCAGCTAGTCCTAAGAAACTACCAACTGGTCACAACATCCAATAGCTCAAGGAATTTCATAAGAACTTGTATATCCCGTAGGATTTACATATTCGACCAAACAGTCCATCCAGTAAGATTTAACATAAAAATTGACCCGAAGGCCTTAACATATTTCATGCCAAAATTTATAAAAATATCAAGAAAATAAGAATTTACCACTTGCGCATTTCTTACCTTGATTTGATACTAAATAAATTTGAAAATATTTTGTGAAACAAGATAATCTCCTCTTTTAAAAATTGTGTGTGTTCACGTGTATATGTGATGAGAACAAAAAAAATACTTCTCATGCCTTTTTATACCAAATTTTCACTTAGAATGCCAATCACCACACTCCACGTGTTGGGCTTGGGGATTAAATATGTTATTTAACATCTTCCTCATCGCAAAACATGGTGTCAATCAATGATGTGACATTTGGTAGATTTAATTGATTATATTAATTATAAAATAAAATGTGGTTGATGTTTCAAATTCCAACGCCCCTATATATATTATTAAAATATAGGATTTAGAATATCCTTCTTCTGATTAAGATAACTCGAATATAATTAGTCCAAAATTATTTCTTTTTGAGCCAAATTATGTTATTTAGCACGCGCTACAAAATGAGTACAATATCGATATAGTTTTATCAACTTTTGAAATACCTAAATATTTGACATAAAATTACTCACTATAAATTTTACACACCAACAAAATAGGTCATTTATGCAAATAAGTGAGTTACGTGTATCGCTTCAACTTTTTGGGACCTTAGTGTGACGATAGGGCTCAACATGGACTATTTTATTTACTAAATCATCAAATTAAATTTAAACCATTTGGAATAAAGATTTAAAATTCGAAATGTTGCAACTGCTATAAGGGGGGCCTAGAATAGGGCCAGTGAGGCGGAACCCCCGCGAAGTTTGAAGAAGAGGAAGACCTCCAGTGGGTCTTCGTCGATGAAGGCCACCCCTCGCATGAAGCTCCCCATTTCATATAGAAGTGACGAGCTGGCCCCGGAGGTTCTGATGATGCTTCCAGCAGTGAAAACTACTTCAGCAACATTTTACAAATACTAGATGGAGCGTTGGCAATCTTTTGTAGAGTCCAGCGAATGTGCTGATGTGTTCTGACAATGGTGAACCAAACAACGAGGGCATTTGGTACTGCAATCGAGACTAAGGCCCTCATTAAAATTCTCATGAATAAGAATAAAGGGTATTTGACCCAGGCTAATGAGGCCAAGGAAGTAGTAAAGAAATCCAAGTCTGAAGTGGAGGCTCTAAAAAAGAGCCAGGCCGAAGAGTGGATGAAGCTCATTTCTGCCTTAGAAGAAATTGAGATTTTGAAAAAAAGGTCTACCTATCCTAAAGTGAGATGGCCTCTCTGACGAAACAGGTTGAGACATTAGATAACACCAAAAGATTACTGTTGAGGCCATGGAGTTGACCGATAAAGAAAATGCTTCCTTGAAGCAGCAGCTGGGGAACTGAACTCCCGGATCTCCGATTTAGTAGAGGAGGTCGAGATGGTGAGGAAGGAGGCTAAAGCTACTGGTAGTGAGGCAGAAAAAAGATATATTACCAACTTCCACCTAACGGAGGCGTACCAAAGCTTTGGTGCTTACTGGCCGATGAATGCCTATACCGAGGTGGTGGAGTGGATTGAGGCCAACCTCCCAGCTGTCACTACCTTTGAACTAAGGACGAAGTTTTTGGAGAAGGGTAGTGAGCCACAAATGCCGGCAGAAGGGAGTCAAATTATTGAAATTGAAGATGAAGCCCCTGAGGCAGAAGCTGATGTTCGAAAAGTAGCTCCCAATGCCATAGTTCCGTTTGTACCTCCCCCCACCTATTTAGATGGGAGTTATATATATTTTTTCCTTTGCATTTGTAACTTTGGCCTCCGAGGCCCTCTATGTATGAATTTTTCAATTTTTCCTTTACAAGTTCATTCATTTGCTCATGTTTACTGACTTCATACTGTTTCATGCAAATACTTTACTGCTTTTTAGTTAATACTTATGACGAAGTGTTGGTAGTTCGGCCGTGTAGCTTACTTTGTCATATTTGAGGTTGATTGTAACATAGTAATAATAGCCTCTTTCCATACATTGTCCATTAATAAATTGTTTCGCTTCGGTACTCACTTAGTGTAATAACATAACTCACGAAGTTGATGCCGAGCTTGTTGAACTTAATAAACCAATACAATGTCAAATACAAAGCCCATTGATAATACTTTCGTAGATGTTCTACGTTCCATGGATGAGTTTTTACCTTTCCATCCAGAGTTTCGATTTTGTAAGTACAAGCTCTATCTTCTTCTTTTATGCGGTATGGTCCTCCCCAGGTCGGACCTAAGGTTTCGACACCCGCTTCTTTTGTGAACAAGAACACCTTTTGGAGGATGAGGTCGTCTATATGAAACATCTTTTTCTTAACCTTCGAGTTATAGTACCTCGTCATCTTTCTTTGATATATAGCCAATTTGGACTGGGATTCATCCCTCATTTCTTCAAAGAAATCCAATTCACACCTTCTTAACTATTCATTGGAAATCTTGTTGAAGTGTACCCTTTGAGGCGTTGGCAGACCCACTTCAACTGGACTCGTAGCCTCGGTTCCATAGGTTAAGGAAAAAAGGTCTGGCCAGTGGGGGTTTTGCTTATGGTTCAGATTGCCCACAAGACTTGAGGTAGCTTATCAACCCAAGCACCTTTCGAGGCATCCAGCTTTCTCTTCAATGTATATTTGATGGTCTTGTTAACAGCTTCAACTTGCCCATTTGTCTGGGGGTGGTGTGGGGAAGAAAAATTCTTCTTGATCCCTAGTTCATCGCATAGGTTTCTGACCTTTTTTTGTCAAATTGGCGCCCATTGTCTGATACAATCAAGTGAGGAATCCCAAATTTTTAGATAATATTGTTTCACAAGAATTTCGAATTATTAGCTTCAGTTATCTTGGATAGAGGCTCAGCTTCAACCCACTTAGTAAAATAATCAATTGCCACAATAGTAAAACAGGCACTGCCTCGTCCTTTAGGCATAGGTCCAATCAAATTAACGCCGCATTTGGCGAACGACCAAAGGCTAGAAACAACATTGAGCTCCTGGGAAGGTTGTCGTTGGACAGTTGCGAAATTTTGGCATTTATCACACCTCTTCGCAAATCGTTGGGCGTCCTTTTTCAGGGTTGGTTAATAGTATCCTTGTCTTAGAACTTTTTGGGCTAAGGCCCATCGTCCAGAGTGGTTGCTACACACTCTTTTATGTATCTCTCTTAGAATGTAAGTGGCTTGTTCTCCACCTATACATTGGAGTAGGGATAAAGAGAAACCTCGTTTGTAAAATACACCATCTTGAAAGATAAAGTGTGCAGCTCGTCTTCTCAACTTTCGTGCCTCCTCTTTTTGTTAGAAGGCAGGAGTTGTTCTTGTAGAAAGGCAATGATTGGGGCCATCCATGTAGGGGTATCTTCTACCCACATTACATCTTGTTCCTTAGAAATTGAGGGCTTCGACAAGTGTTCAATGGGGACTACAATAAGCAGTTCGGAGTCGTTGCTACTAGCTAACTTTGAAAGGGCGTCGACATGGGAGTTTTCACTCCGGGGGATTTGTATAAACTCGAACTTTTCAAAGGTGGGGATCAATTCGGTGACCTATTTGAGTCGTGCTTTTGTCCTTGACAGCAATGTTGCCATTAGTGGCTAACCACTAGTTGGGAATCACAACTGGTGTGGAGCATCTTGGCCTGCATTTCTCTGGCTAATCTAAGGCCAGCCAAGAGAGCCTCATATTCGGCAACATTTTTGGTCGCTTTGAACCCAAACCTTACAGCAGAATTGAGTGTGTGTCCTTCTGGACTAATTAGGACAATGCCTGCTCCTAACCCAATTTCTCCTGAGGATTTATCAACGAACAAACTCTAGGTAGGGGGTTCGCTCGCTCCATTTTTGGAAGGGGGTAAATTCAGCTACAAAATCAGCCAATGCCTGACCTTTGATTGCTGTTCTTGCCTTGAAGATTATGTCAAACTCACTTAATTCAACAGCCCACTTCAACAGTCTTCTAGAAGCGTCTGTTTTTTGAAGCACTTGTTTGAGAGGGAAGTTGGTTAGCACTTTGATAATGTGTGCTTGAAAGTAGGACCTCAGCTTTCGTGAAGTGGTGATTAGTACTAGAGAAAGTTTTTCCATATTCGGATAGCGTATTTCAGCTGCCAAAAGTGCATTGCTTATGTAGTAGACAGTTAGCTACTGACCTTCCTCTTCTCTTAGTAAAATCAAATTGATTGCCTCTGTGGTCACAGAGGGTTCAATTTCATTCTAACCTGCGAAGAATCTTAAAGATCTTTTCCAAGTACTGGATGTGGTCGTTAGCCTCCAGGCTTTTCGCCAGCATGTCGTCTACATAGACCTCCATTATTTTGCCTAGGAGGTCAGCAAACATTTTGTTTACAAGTCTCTGGTAGGTGGCTTCGATGTTTTTCAACCCGAAGGGCATCACCTTATAGCAATACAGACATGTGTCCATAATGAAGGATGTGTGCTCTTCATCTGCAGGGTTCATTGGGATTTGATTATAATCGGAGTAAACATCCATAAAACTCAACAATTCGTGGCCAGCTGTGCAATCAACCAACTGATCTATTCGTGGGAGTGGAAAGCTGTCCTTTGGCAAGCCTTGTTCAGATTCGTGAAGTCTACATATACTCTCCACTTCCCGTTGTGCTTCTTGGCTAAGAACGGGTTGGAAACCCACTTTGGATAAATTGACTCCCTGATAAATTGGTTGGTGATCAACTTTTGCACCTCGTCTTCTAAGGCTTTGTACCTTTTTGGATTTAAAGCTCACCTCTTTTGCCGGTGGGGACTTGAGTTGGGGCTGATCTTTTAGTGATGGAAACTAACCTTCGGATGTATTCCAATCATGTCTTCACATTTTCATGCAAACACATCTAGGTTACTTCGCAGAAAGTTTTGCAGCTTTTCTTTCAAGGCGAGAGGTAAGCTCTTATTGACTTGCAAGAATTTGGGTGAGGTCGGAGAGCCTACTTCGAAGTTTTCTAGTTTTTCCATTGGAGCCATATGGGGCTCGTCTTCAATTATGTGGAGGTCCAATTCGTCAACCTGAAGGACTTTTGCAGACCCCATCCCTTCTTCTGGGGTATTCTGAATCTTCACGGCCTCCTCTTCGGAGGCGTGGATGTCGACATCCTCCTCTTATATAGGGTCGTCAATCTCATTGATTTCTATTAATATGATGTTAATGCTGGATGGATTGTTTTCTGCACAGAGCTAGAATCACATTCCCTGGCACTTTGTTGGTCGCCTCTGACAATAGCAATGCCCCGTTCAGTGGGGAACTTTATGCAGAGGTTGTGGATGGAGGTTACTGCACATAGCTCTTTTAAAACAGGTCTTCCCAATACTCCATGATATGCTGAATGATGATCTCCCACTAGAAATTCCATGAAATTGTGGATCGTAAGGGGCGCCACTCCCATTTTTGTTGCCAGTGTAATTTTTCCCCGAGGAAGGATTCTGTCTCCATTGAATCAATAAAGTGGAGAATTTACTAGTGTTAGGTCATGGTCAACTTCCATTTTGCCATAAGTGGACCCGTATATTATAGTGACCGAACTTTCGTTGTCTACCAACATCATTTTGAGGCTATTTCTAGCCACGACTGCCCTTACTATTAGGGTGTCGCAATGAGGGAAGTGTATCTCAACAGCATCGTCCGGGGTGAATGTAATGGGCTCAATCTTTTTATGCCTTGGCTATTATTGACTATGAAGCTGGCCTTCGGAGGGTCCTTGGATTCCATAGCATAGTTTCTTTGGGCATTCCTTATCTCGCCACCTACATATGGCCCTACAAATATGGTGTCAATTTCTCGAATGGTATCGTGTCAAGCATTTGGCGAGGGGCTCCTTTGATGCCTATGACCTTCTGTAGGTCTGGTACGATTGTCATGTCATCCTTGCGAGTTATTTCTGCTAGGTTGGTCTCCATTATTTCTTCTCTTCCGACCTTGTCTGGGGGAATCGTTCTTTCGACGTTCATTTCTTCTCTGGTTGGATGGGTGTCTGGCTATGTCCCAGCATCTCGCTATACTATGATTGTAGGATTGATGATAGGTGCAATATGGAGAGGCCTCATTCCTATTCCTAGGTTGAGCAGCTCGCCCTCTTCCTCATCGTCTCCGAGAGGGTTGTTGAGGTACTCTTTCTTGGTGTACCTCGGTGTTGGGAGTCACTTCTTCATAAGCCAGAGTTGGGACGACGTTGACTGTTGTCGCTGTTAGTGCCTGACCTAGATTAAGAGAGGTGCAGGGTCCAGCTTGCTGGTCAATTAGATGTGACGTCGGGCCTTTTCCTCTTTGCATTTGTGGAGGTGGGAACCCTTGATTTGCCCTGTTACGATGATCCCTCAGTTCTTCAATGATGATCTCTCGCAGTATCATTTCTAACAAGGTGTCATAACTTGAGAGAATTCATGTCTAGCCCTCCTCTTAGGGCAGTCAGTGCTTCTCTATTGGTGACCTGTACACAGTAGGTCATCTCATCGGTGAAGCAGGTTAGGAAGCTCTTAAGTGACTCTCCTGGTTGTTGCCTCATATCCTGTAGCCGCTGAATTGGTCATTCACCTTCCTTGCATGCGGCGAAGTGTTTAAGAAAAGCCTTCTTAAAATCTGGCCAGCTCCGTATGTTTTCGGCCTCCAGCCTAGTGTACCATACTTTACCTGCACCGCTAAGCGACAAGTGGAAGGCTCCGCACTTCATTTCCGGTGTTGCATCCCTAAGTCCCATGTAGGTTTTGAAGCCGTTGAGGTGTTTTGCGAGGTCTCCTCTTCCATCGTACTTAGGTATTATAGGCAGTGTGAAGTGGTTCAACATTGGATCACTTCTGATTTCTTGTGAAAATGGCAAGTTATCATCGTTATCGTCGAGCTCGCAAGACCTCTATGGTTCGTCAAAATTACCTCCTATATCAGGGGCTTCCACGGGTTGTTGGGATTGCTCTGCTTGCTGCCTTGCTTGTTTAGCTCTCATTTCTTGCCTATTTCTAAGTAGGGGTGGCATTTCTTCTCATAGGCTCATTGGGCACTCCTAACCGAGGCCATTCTTGCTGCCTATTCCTAGGTGCCGGACATTGGTCACGCCTATTGTTAGGCTGCCCTGGGCTTAGTCTATCAAAAACACTTACTGATCTTCTAGCCGGATTTTCCAGGTTGTATTCTGGTGGAAAATTGAGGGAAACTTCGGTGTATTGGTATGAAGCGTAATTTGTTAACGTGTTTACTACCTCTCTCTCCTGAGGGTCATTTTCCCTTGGATATTGCTTATATTCGGTTCCCCGACTATGAACTTCATCGTCACCTCTATAGTAATTGCCTTGTAGGGAAATATTTCCCTGAGGAGCATATGGTGGGATTGGATATCCTTCTTGGCCTTGCATGCCCCTCAGCAGCTCATGCATAACAAGATTCTGCTGAGTAATACTTCTCATATTATCAGCTATAGTGGCTACTTTCCTAGTGAGCCTAGCAGCCAATCCAGAACCTCATCGAGTCCTACCACGTGAGCCACCTTGTCTATTTGGCTGTTGAAATTGGTGGCGGGATGTTGGGGTCCTTCTTTAGGATGTTCTCTCGTCATTCGAGGAGCGGGTTCTTCTTTACTAGCACTCATGCTATCTTTCCAAAATCCTTCGTGTACGAATGTTGTTTTTCGGGACGTGTGCATTGCGCTCTTCATGCCTAAGGATGTTTCCTTTTTCTTAAAGGTTCTCCTTTTTGGTCTTTTCTGAAAACTCAAATTTTCTTTATCTACGGGACTTTCGTGGTTTAGCTGTTCCAAGCTTCCTACAGACGACGCCAATCTGTTGACCTTCGAAAGTGCCCAATAGGTGTCGTTAAAGGACGATATACACGTGGGCGTAGTTTACCGTATATAAATCGTAAACAGTATGTTTGTGGAAGAAGATGAATAGTAGGCAATGAAAGTGTATTGTATTCTCTTGTCTATATTTTCTAAGATCCTTTTAAATGATACAAGAATTGCCTATTTATAGTAATCAGGCCGGCGTGGTCATCGTTGGATTGGATCTACGTGGCTTTATTTGTCGACCCTAACTGTTACATCAACTCTATTACACATTAATTACATTGATAGACTTTTGACAAAAGGTCAGCCACTTTATAAACTTAGGCTGACATTCCTGACACTCATTAACTGCGCACGTCACATCAGTCAACTCTGAAGATGTGCTTGCCCGACCCTCTTTTGGTTGTAAAGAATTTCGGATAATAGAAGGTAAACCACCTCGGCAGAACTTAGTGTAACGACCTCGGCACTTCATTTGACAGCTTCGGACATTAATCACTTCTATACCAATTCTTGGGTGCTTGCCATGTATATGAATGTGAGGTCTCCACGTGGATCATTCTGTATTGATCAGTAACAACCTATTTTGACCCAGTGAACATTTGAATTATAAAATGGCTATTTCAAACAAGATTTTAGCCCTTTGAGTAGCTTTACAACTCAACTTAAATAGTCTCAATCGGATATCGGGAGAGAACATTATGATAAAAATACTAAAGGAAGTATTATTTGACTTTTACTCGAAAGGTGGCGCCGAGAGCTGCTGCACCGCAGCGCTACTCCTATGGCTTCGAAGCGCCGCCTGGGTGTATCTAGGGCACTTTTTGTCCGTTATGTGTGTGTGTATATATATATATATATATATA